GAATAGTAAGGAATTGATCTGGATCTTCTCCATCCCTTCTACCTCGCTCAAACTTCGATCTCCTAGAAGAACTCTCTGGCAATTCTTCCATCGATTCACCTGTACCAGTCTCACTGTCTTCGAGAACATTTTGATTGGCCACCTCGAGTAGTTTAGGCGCCTTAGGACGTGGCACTCCCTGTTGTTACCTCATCATCCATCCATAATTTCGTTGAAAATGCCTTTGTTAGGTTCTAGTCATCTCGTTGAAGGGTATCACTCTGCCTGCATTATATTGGAACGAATGCCATACATTTGGTTGGCGAGGTTGCGGCTTGAATATTCTCCCATTATTTATTGACCTAAACTGCCTCTCAAAAGGCAATCCCCTATAGAATGATATACCTCATCCTCTACCAGGCTGAGCGTTTGGGAAAAAACTAGGGCGATGGTGATGCTGCCATATCCCTGATTTCTCTGTATTTGCACTCACTTCTCTTTTACATCTGGCACACAGGACATCTTCATCTTTTTTAGGCTCCTTTTCTTTGATACATTCAAAGACACTGGGGTGTGGCCCAGGGTCCTCTTATCCGTCATCTATAACCAACTTGAATTTTGGTAACTTATTTTTGAAACCAGTCGTCACCATGTTCACCCCAAGTGGCTATGGAAAAGGGTTTTCATCCACTGTCATCTTCTTTTTATCCTCGAACGTAATTCATCCTGATTCAATGGCGTCCTGTAACACATGGTGAAAAACCAAACAGTTGTTAGTCAAATGTGACCATGTATTATGCCACCTACAATATTTTTTACCCTTGATTTGTTCAGGGCTTGGCAACTTATGTTTATCGCTCAACTTTATCTACTTATCCTTATATAGTTTATAAAATATAAGGTCAGCTTTGGTTACGTCGAACGAGAACGTTCTAGCCTTTTTGTTTTCATCTTTTATAGGATCATCCTTGCCCGACAATCTTGGCTTAGCTATTATAGGACAAGTATATGCGTCTTCTTTGATTAATTCGACCAAACACATTTCGGTTTGATCGTAATACTCATCATTAATGGTATGAACATCAAAGTTTGGGTCTCTACAATAAGTCCTCTTGCTAGAATTTTTTATTTGCTCTTCTTCTCTTATTAATTGTTCATACCTAATCACGTTTGCGCCCAATTGGAAGAGATCGGGAAATTCCTTGTCTTGGAATTTTTTTTCAAATCAAAGTTTAGACAACTTTGAACGATTTTGACAAACTCCTTTTCAGGCAATGGTACAAAACATTTACTTCGTGCTATCTTGAACCTTTGAAGGAAACCTTCTGTCCATTCGTTTGGCATTTGACGTAGATTCGCTAAATCGGCCAAAGTAACTTCAGATTCAGTCTTGTAAAACTGAGCATGGAACAATTACTCCAATTGTTGCCATGTTTGAATAGAGTTCGCTGGCAAATTGATGAACCAAGAAAAAGATACTCCTGTTAATGAACTAGGGAACAACCTCATTTTATGGTAGTCGGTTACTTCACCACTTTGCAGTGTGAATCGCCCTATGTGTTCTAGAGTAAACACCTCTCCTAAATCGGTAAATAATGAGAATTCTGGCACTTTATACCCTCTCGGCCATGGATATGTTTGGTCTATCCAATCAAGGTATGGCTTTGTGTAAATCGGCCTAATGACAGGACGTACCCCAAAAGCCATTTGATCCTGTACTATTTCCATAATTTGATTTCTCAACATGACGTTAAGGTCATATGGAATTCCTACAGGTTGGTTGGTTGGTTGATTTGCCTGAGGCCTGATGTTTGGTCCTTGGTTGGCAACAAGTTGCCATGATTTGGGCCATTGTTACCATTAGTTTGAATATTTATTCCATCATTGACACGTGGGGTATTCTGTCCATTATTTAGGACATTGTCTCTTATATTTAGGTTACCCCCTAATTTAGATGTACCATTACCACTATTCTGATTTGGCCTTACACCATCCCCTTGGTTTGAAGTAGGTGGACCAAAAGGTGGTTCTATCCCCTGATTTGGACTTAGGATTGGGGAATTATGTCCCACGATTGTCCTAGTTTGAAAGTGATTTGCAATAGGCACAACTGGCTGACAAATTTGGCCTACTAACTTAATCATTATTTCATTTAACGTATTCAGTTGTTTGGCCATGTTGTCATAATGTGCATTCCCATTCTGGGTAAATCTTTCCATATTATGAACATTTCGTAGATTTACCTGTTCAACGACATCCTGTGTGAGTTCTCCAAGCAATGCACGTATGGTTCGAGGACTCAACTCTGTCATTGGTTCGTAACAACTGTGACTGCTCTGACACTGTCCCTCTGTTCGTGGAGAGTTTTGCTGCTCCTCATATCGCTCGATCACAGACTAGACTCCTCCCTGACTTGCCGCTTCCTTATCAAATTTGTGAGGCATATTGTATCACCTTTTGTATCTTCAACACCAAACACCAATGTCCCACTGGGCGTGCCAAATTGTTTCGTGCGGGTAGTCAATAACAATTAAAAAAGGGATCAGACGATTGTGTAAGGAACAAACCTCTTGAGACTTTTATTGGTGATGATTTACAATTGAAAATAAACAGAATGCCTCCAAGGGGCGCAAGCACACGAGTACTAAAAGAAATGTTTAAGTTTAAACTAAGAAATCGAAATTACATATTCTCTGTTTGAGAGTATTTGATTCGAGATTTTTTCTCTCTCTGTCTTCTCTTCCTTTTATATTCCCTTGATTATTTCTTCATGACAAACCGCTTGGAAACTGCTTGATTACTATATAACTACCCACTTTTTTTATGGTGGCTAACTTGTCGTGGAACTGCCGTCTCTAACTGTTGCCATTACTCTTTGTCATTCAACCGCCTTCAACTGGGTTCCTTGAATCGTGGAATGTGATAAGATCACTCAATAACTACTTCAACAACTGCTATTCTGGATAACCATAATGTTTTATGCTTGCTAAGATCCTGGGCGATTCGAAGGTTTGGGCGAAAACGGGGTCATCGCTCGGGGCGACCGTAAGGTATTCCATTTGCTCAGATTTTGGGCGTCTTGCAAGTTTAGGTGATGATCTTACTGTTTTCGTGGGCTTCCATCGTATTCCTCAATAATCCTGTTTGGACCTTTATCCTGGACTCTCCAATTGGGCTTCACTTTTTGGACCATTTGATTTGGGCTGCACTTTTAGTGTGTCAACACATATACAATAAAATATTCGTGAGCCCTCTTATGTGAGGGGGGTATAATCTATTATGTACACATAGAATAATCCTTAATCTTATTATAAACTCCGATAATTGAACCATGGTCAGGCCAAACAGAATAATTGTTAATTTTCATTCACTTCACTAAAGACGAAAAATTTGAACTATATAAAATTATAAAAACAATATTATCAATTTCCTGCAATTACATCCTCTTGATTTGTCTTTTTGTCAGATGTCTAATAACTAGATCAGGCTAAAATGATCATTGCACTTTTTTAATTATGTTCTCACTTAAGTTTGCTTTTTCTTTATTAGTTTTTTCATGATGCAATCATGAAATTATGATTTAATGTCCTCAATTACTGAGCTTAGATTTAAACTTCTTCCTTTTAATGTCCTCAATTACTGGGCACTGGCATTTTAATTTCTTCTCGTGTGTATCTATTATGATTTCTCTAACATCTATCGCTGAATATCAATGACTCTAACTTGTGTGGCTTCCAAAAATAAACTGATAAATCACTGTATACATATTTCCTTTAACACTTTATAGTGATAATCCCCAGTAGAAAGGTCACATATTACTAATGAATATCAAAATATAGTCAAGTGACTGATAGAACTCTGTTTGATAAATTTGCTGGAATAAAAACTGCATATAAACTATAAAGAGGTACAGATATGGGCTAATAATTCAGTATTTGAGAACCTTGGAATTATATCGATATAGTTTACTAAATGTAAAGACAAAATGAATTGAAGTAGAAATGGAATTACAGCGGAATGAAATCAATTACATTGAAATATTAAGCATTAGAGAGGCCAGTCATTTCCTCACCATACTATCAGTTTCTCCATGATCCCCACAGAATTCCCCTCCCACTTTTCGCATAATTGGTGCTTAGCCTTCTTCCATAAAATTCCCCAAGTAACCCCTCCCAATTTTAACTAACCAAATGGAAGCCTATAATTACCTCGCCACCCTGCCCCAGCCACAATCAAAGCAGACTGTAGCCACCTCCCAAAGTGGACGTATGCACCTAAACGATCTACTACCAATAGTATAGTATCTAAGAGAACTCCCCAGACAGTTGCGTCCACCCACAAAATTCCCAAATTCTGAACCAGGCCAATCCTAATAGATTTGTAGGTTGCCCCACAATGAAACAGTCAATGACATCTTGCTGAGAGATCTTCCCGTGTGGTTTAGTTGCCATTGGCGTTGTTAACCCAACCACTAAATGAGTTGAAATTTCCACAGTCTCTGGCGCCTTTCTGCTCAATTTCGCCAGCCCCTGTAAGTACTTCTATACTTAACTCATCCAAATTGTTGCTCACCAAGAACACTTGTAACTCTTTACTTTGGAAATTATGACCCACCGGATTTTTCTCATCATAACAGAAGTACAAACCCTTCTCCATATTCAAAAGAAGCTCTGAAACAGTGAATCTCTTGAACGTTGATGGAGTTTGGGACAGGAAGAGCTGAGTTTGGACTATATACGGAGAATTTTGCAAGTGTTTGTACCTGAATAAGATTTTAAGGCACTGGATTTAATAATGGGCTCTTCCATGCATGGGGCCGTCATGAATTGGGCTTAAGCCGACATAAGCTTGTTCTAACAGCATTGAAGTTGGTGGGTTTGAGTTATGAGAATGATTTGGAGACTTTTAATAGAAATGGGCCGGAAATCTCATGGGCCTGGTAAAACAAATTATTATAGTCACACCATCAACGGACATCGACTCATCTCAATATTTAAGGAGGAGATCGACGATCCCAAGTTCTTTTACTCCATTCAGAAAGTATTTTCCGCCGGACGACTCGTAGGAGGTGAGAAGGGCCCTTACTTCGTCCCACACAGTGTATTACTATCGGCCCTACCAGGCAACATCTACCTACACAAGCTCGATCAGGATATAGGGAGGATCCGATAGAAGTACGAAATTCTGATTGTTCAGAGAATTAAATCAGTTCTACTAAGGACAGGTCGTATTGATGACGAAGAAAACTCTGGAGAAGAAGCAAGCTTCAACGCTCCCCAAGACAATAGAGCCATCATTGTGGGGAGGGTAAAGAGCATCCATCCACCCACTGGGCCAATCTCGTAGGAGGTGAGAAGGGCCCTTACTCCGTCCCACACAGTGTATTACTATCGGCCCTACCAGGCAACATCTACCTACACAAGCTCGATCAGGAGATAGGGAGGATCCGACAGAAGTACGAAATTCCGATTGTTCAGAGAATTAGATCGGTTCTATTAAGGACAGGTCGTATTGATGACCAAGAAAACTCTGGAGAAGAAGCAAGCTTCAACGCTCCCCAAGACAATAGAGCCATCATTGTGGGGAGGGTAAAGAGCATCCATCCACCCACTCAGCCAATCCATGATATGACCCAGCCCACAGAATACCCCTCCCCCTATCTATGTAATAGGTGCCAAGCCTTGCACGATAAAATATCCCTACACCCTTATGTTAACGAACTGAACGGAGGCCTATCATTCTATTATGAATACTAATAACTATGAATCTCAAAATATAGTCACATGACCAATCAAGGCAGGTAGATAACTTTGGAAACTATTAAAAAAGAAAGAGGAATAAAATTTTGCTCATTGTATTGTCCAATACGATGCAATACTGGATATATTGTTAGGATAATTAAAATATACCTCTCTTCATGTTCCACAGCCAACTGAAAGCTTCAAAGGTCCAGCCAACGAGCATGCTTCTGGGCCAAAAGACTTATTTTGCATTCATAATCATACAAGTCATCAGATGTGTGACTATCCTCACCGCCTAAGTGTCCATTTTTGTTAACAGAGATATTTCAGTACTTGCCAAACCAACATTAATGATCAGAAGTGAACCGTACAATGGACATCAACTCCATTTGTTGCTGAAATCTAATTGATCTTGCCAAAGTTGGGAACTCCATCGATTAAAATTATCTATTCACCAGCACAGCTTGGCACTTTCCGATTTTGCAACTCATTGAAAAGTAAACTTCTCTCCGGCGTGACTCTAGAAAGAAACATTAGAAACTTTCACAATCCATTAACTAACTATCACTACTGAATAAATTCAGTACCATGGTTCAACTCCTACAAAGAAAACATTCACTTTAGGATCCCGCATACACAAAATTAAAAAAGAACGAAAAAAAAAAGGATTTTTTTGTGTGCTCTGCTTGACCACAGGTCTTATTAGAAGTTGAATGATGAAAGTAGGAATAATTTTCCGCAAATAAGTTATAAAAAAGTGTAAATGCTCAAATTAATGACTATCCAAAGCAGAAGAACGTAAATGCTTTGTGAATAAATCTCAATCAATTTATAGTATAATCAAGAAAAATCAGTGAATCAAGTATCAATGCCAGTGAGGAAAATATATATAACGTTCTGAATAAGTAGTACAAAAATTAATGAAGAATCAAAAGCGAAAAATAGCCCAAATATAATAGTAGCATGTTTAGTAAGAAATCCAAAATCTAAGAGAGATACTAAGCGCTCTAACATAACCCAATCCACCAATCTTGCTTAATTGGTTTCAGGACCTGAGGGTTTGGAAGAGGGCAGGGCTGATGATAGTAGGCAATACAAGCTAGACGTAAGTTGATTAAGTGGTGTTATGATCTTACATTAGTATCAGCTCCAATCCTTCAGGTATTAATTTTACCATTGAAAATTAGAATGAAAAATATGGAGAGATGGATGATTCAATTCCTTGTAATTTCTGCCTTGCAATAAATTCGTAGGGAAAAATAAATAAATAAATAAACAACTAACAAATATTTTATTGAAGAACAAAAGACTCGCCCTAACTCCCATGATTAAGCAAATTTACACAAGGAAACAACAAAATGTGATGTGAAAAACACATAATCCATACACACTAACATGTTTAGTAAAAAAATTTCTTCATATATAAAGACTCCCAGTCCATATAGACAGAATTAAATTTCTTGACAGTGCTATAAGAAATGCGTGATGTGTCTGTCAGAGAAATAAGAGAGGGAAACCTGAATAATGTTGACGGAATTTGAAAAGAGAGCTTTCAGAATATCGCCAAGAAACAGATAATCAAAAAGTTAGCGCCGTGAATCAGACAAAGAACCCATCAAAAACAGATACAATAAAGCTACAGGGCTAAAAACCTGATAATACTCCACGATACAATGGACAATTTTTTTAGCCCTTGTTCTGTGGGAATTAAATAGATTTTTCGAATATTATAATAAAATGTATGGCAAAAAATTTGTAAATTTGATGAAATATGTAGCTAAAATTAATTTATAATATTGATTTTAATTCCCATCAAACAAACAAGGGTTTAACCATTTTTTTTTATTTTTTTGACACCATATTTGGGGAAAAAAAATTATTCCTGAGATATAACATTTCCCCCCTGTTTTTAACTTAATTATTCAATTTATATAACATGAGCTATAATGATTTATATTTTCTTACCACGCATATTTTATTCTAAGTGAAAATAATTATAAGTTAATACAGTGTATATATATAAATTGCATATGTTATATGAACTTAAGCATTGATGAACTATTTTTATTCTACCTAATATAAATTGAATAATTAAGCTGGGGGAAAAAGTTATATCTTTAGCACACCTTAATAATAGTTTTTTTTCATTTTTAAGTATGGTGTTTAAAAAAAAAAAGGTTAAACTCTCATTCGATGGGGATTAAAATCAATGTTATAAATTAATTTCAACTACATATTTCATAAAATTTACAACTTTTTTATCATACATTTTATCAAAATATTCAGAAAACCTATTTTAATTCCCACAAAAACAAGGACTAAAAAATATATGTTACTTAGAATAAAGTAATTACGTGTAACTAGTAGCACCTCGTGTGAATCCATATTCTAAAAATTCAGTTTTATTCAAACTCATTTACAATTATGCATTCTTTTAATAAAATAATTTTGTACATAAATTTAAAAAATATATTTTTTTACCACATCCTCAAAATTATTGCCACTACGAAAATCTTTTTTTTTTTTTTTATAAAAATGGGGCATAGTCACACTCCAAATATGTTAAGATTCCTAACATTAGCAAAATTTGAATTCAACACCAAATATTTTACAATAACATAATCTGGGTCCCACCTATGAAACTTTGAAAGTACACACTACAAATTATTCAACGCACAATTTCTACAGCCAATAACTAATCTAATGCCATGTCAGCTTTTTTAAATCCCTATTTTTAGCCCTGTGTGAATAGCTTTATTGAAACAGATAATAAGTCGTTTGAGACACCAACGAAGACCTCCCATAGAAGTGTTTGTTTTTGTTTGGCTGAGCCTAAAAAGATAAGCGGACGTTATAAGCGCAACCATACTTAAGCTCCCAATTTGATCCCCATTCTCATTATCATTCATTTTTTCTCTCTTATTTTCAACCATATAATTTTTCATAAAATAATATTACACGTAAATCAAAAACTTTTCATTTTTTTCAACCACACATTATTTAAAAAAATATTATTCCAACCATTAAAATTTGACAAGAATGGGAGCCAAAAGGGGGCTTTTTAAATTGATACCATGCCCCGTTTGATTGGATTAAAATTAATTTTTTAATATTTTAATAAAAGTTAATGAAACATATGCTTGAAAAGTGCGAATCTCATACTATTTGTAGTTAAAAATAATTATTAACTTTGATTTAAATTAATATTTTTATTTTTATTTTTATCAAACGGGCTAGAGGAAAATATGATTTTACATCTTGAGGGGGGTGTATTGGAATACATGTGCACCAAAAAAGTCCAGCCATGAATCCAGAAGCTTCCACTAGATTCTAACTAATTCCAAAGACACCAGATTCTATTTTTAACAGAACATCAATCTCCGACTATAGTTGTTAGGCTATTAATTAGTTAGGTATTAGCCAATTAGTTAATTAATTACTCTAGCTATTTCTCTATAAAAACAGGATGGGGTGTTCATTTTAATTCATTGGATTGTAGTCTTCCAATCCCTCCTTCCATGGAGGTTTCTCTTCCTCCTTCTATGGAGTGATTCTTCCTCCTTTAATGGAGTGTCATTTCCTCCTATTACGGAGTGTATTTTGTTCTCCTTTTATGGAGTTTGTTCTTCTTCTTTATGGAGTTTAATTCAAGTTTTGTCAATCAATAAATTCTAATACGCAACAACCCTTGTGACAGGCAGGCGACGCCACATAGGGCCTTGGATGTCTAGGGCCCTGTAATCTAGGGCCCTGTCACCAAAGAATAACCCTTATAAGAATAGTATATGATAAAATAAAAACTGTTGGGATGTTCAAGTGCTGGATTTTAATTGGATAAGGTTATCAAAGATTCCAATTAAATTTCTAAAGAATAATTTAATACAGATGACTGCTTTGTTTTCAGATTATAATCCATCTTTTTGATTGAGTCTACAAAACTTTATCTCATGATGAATTGTAATGTTGCCCTAAAATTAAATATATGGGGAATTTTTTTACTGAAGTGCACCCCATCATCCAATTTTATTCATTTAGTACTCTGAATTTAAAAATAGCAAGAAACTAAAAGGTCCACCACAAATTCCACCCAAATCCAAATATTTTCACTGTTCAATCAACCAATGCAACTTGCTTAAAAATAAAATTTATCGAATTCATAAACAATTTGTTTAGGAAAATGATAGGCGTGGGTAAATGGTATAAAAAATGGTACAGGGGTACTTGCATGAAGAGTAAAACAGAATTGTACAAAGAGATTTGAGTATGGACCACAAATGTATCACCTGGACTGAGCTGTGTACACAGCATGACACACAGCTAGGTTCACAACACTCTCACATCGGGAGGCCCGTGCCAATAAAAAAAAATAGCGCAGACTGTGTTGTACATGTACAGCACCAAAAAGTGTTATACAAAGAGCTTCATCCAACCTCTATCTCCTCTTCTATTTGATCCACCATTTTGACTCTAATATAACATTATAATATATGATAAGTGTATTTTATACACTTATTCCGTACCTTAAAATAAAGATATTTGATAGTTCTTTTGATAAATTATATTCCAAATTGTTGTTTCTTATTTTTAATAAGTAAATTCTATGAATGAAAAGAGAATTGAAGGAATGAAGCAAAAAATAGCGAAATTCAAAAGTTGGGG